GCGGGACGGCTGATGGCGAGCTCGTACGGGGCCGGGGTGGACGACAAGAAGCGGATCGACGATGAGGACGCGATAGCCGTGGCGAAGACAAATGATGAGGGCGACACCGGCGTTGCTCCCCGAGCTCGATCCAGTGGTGGAGACGATGAAGCAGACGACGGAGAACCTCATGGACATGGCGATGCAACGATGGGGAGTCGGTGGCCGTGGGATCGACAAAGGCGCGGTGACGACATCTCGGGCACGTGGTTCAGAGCATAAACGTGAGTGGGAGAGGGGAATTCCGGGGGCTAGGGTTCGTCAACGAAGTTGGGGGAACACTTATACACCTCTAGGAGTGCTCGGATGAACGACACAAGGCAATCCGGGCGTGGACGGCATGTGTGTGCCATGGCGCCCCTGCCTCTGCCTTCCTCCTATACCTGAAGAAAGAGAAGGCCCGTTGAGTGGGCTGGGTCGCACTATACCTATGGGTTGTATGTGAGCGGTGTTGTCTCTGGACTTTTCTTTTCTTCTTATGTTAAAGCTTTTAGCTCTTGTTTTAGATTCATTTGAGGTACCAAATGAGTTTTGTTACTTGAGAAACTTTGCGCATAAATCAAACGCATCAATATTAGATGGCACAAAAAGTTTGGGGCCAAAAGGAATTGTCTAACTATTTTTAGAAATTGAAAAGGCCAATTTTAATTGCTGCTGGACCACTAAATTAATTCCCATGGGCATTTTGGGAATTCAGAAGAGGTTGGTTTCAACATCACAATGATCAGGGAAATTTATAGGATAAGGTGAACATTTTAGTTTTACTGCTCGAAGAAAATAATTTATTCGACATATTTGTTACTTGAAAAAGGCTTCGATTTTTGGACAAGTGGTAAGCTGCATAGTAATCTTGATGACATGGCAACCATTAGGGGGGGTTACTGTAGCATGACATTGGGGGTGTTATAGAAGGAAGGAGAGGGAGAGGGAGTAGGAAAGGGGGTGAGGGAGTCCTGGATTAGGGAGTCTCCGGACAGCCGGACTATATCCTTTGGCCGGACTGTTCGACTATGAAGATACAAGATTGAAGACTTTGTCCCGTGTCCGGATGGGAGTCTCCTTGGCGTGCATGGCAAGCTTGGCAATACGGATATGAAGATTTCCTCCCTTGTAACCGACTTTGTGTAACCCTAGCCCCCTCAAGTGTCTATATAAACCGGAGGGTTTAGTCCGTAGGACAACATACAATCCTACCATAGGCTAGTGTGATGCCCCAAGACCGGAGGTTCAGAAGCCTTCCTTGTTTTCCGAGTTTCATCATGTGATTTGTTTTGATTGTTGCATTGCATCATGTTAACATGCCATCTTTTTCTCAAAGCTAAGTAAAACTCACTTAAATAAATGGCATGGACCTTTCGTCCATTTAAACCGAGGGAATTCACATGGTGATTCTATTTATAACATATCCTCCTGATATTAGGGAGCTATTTTAAATATTCCATTTGTTGGAATTAACCAGAACACACTTGCAAAATAAATCTCAATGCCTTTGTTATCATAACTCTTGGCCTCTAACTTTGCTATTTATTCTTTCATCATATTCCGAGGTTCCTCCAAAAATCTGAACATTTTTGGATACTCCTAAAACCTCATCCTAGTTCAAACCCATTTGAATTTAATTCAAATGAGTTTGAATTCTTATCGTTCGATCTGGCCATTTCTAATTTTCTCGGACCAAGCATATTTTTGTGAGTTCGGGAAAATTATCCCCATGCCCAAAATCTTTTCCATACCCTCTCTTTCTTTTCCTCTCTTTATTTTTTCTTTTCTGCTAAAGAGATATGAGGGAGAGAGAGAAGCCCGGCTGGTCACTTGGACCTCATTGCCAGGCCGGCCTGCTTCCCTACTATCCCACCTTGGCCCAACCCACCTAACCCACTAACCCTAGACCGCACCCTAGCACCCCTAGCCCGATCCCCTCTTCCCTCGTACCCTTCCACCCAGCGCCGCCAGGGAGAGCGCTGCCCGATCCCATCCCCGTGCGCCTGAACTTCCCTCTCCTCTCGATCTCGCTCCCTTTCCCCGGTCCACCTCGCGCCGCCAGAAACAGAGAGCACGCGCTTGTGCCCGATCATCATCTCTCTCCCGCTCCTCGCTCTCGCACAGGGCCGCAGCGCCTCGCGCCCGTCTGTCCAGCGCGGTCTTGCTCACAGGGACGAGCGAGAGCTCCTTGCACTTGATGCCATGGCTACCTTTGCGCGAGTCCCACCTGCGTCTCGCCCCGCCTCTGTTTTGCTCCCTCGCCGGAGGCCACCACCGCGGCCCTGCCGGACATCGGCGACCCGGAGCGCGGCGTCTCCGACCCCACCTCCTGCCGCGGGCCAGTTGCTGCTGCCGTCCACCTGTTCACCCTTCCATCTTCCCCGCGACGCCATCGCCTCCCTATCCGGCGACCTGCGCCCAGGCCGGCTCTCCTTCGCCCGGATCCTGCCGGACCAGCTTCCCACGCCCTCTGACCTTCGCTGCTACCCGACATGGTCACCTTCCTGCCTCCATGGCCGGCCCCTCCGAGAGCTTGGCAGGAACCACATCCCTCCACCCTGACGGCGCCCAAGGCCCCATGTTGCCATGGCCTTTGCTGATGTTAGCTGTTTCTCCACACGCCCCTGCTTGCTACTTCGACTCCCTACCCGAGCTCCGTTTTTCATCATGGACGTGAGGTAGCTGCTGAACCTTGCCATGGTTCTGTCCAATGCCACAAGTCAGACGCTAGGAGCACGACAAGTTCGACTACCCGTAATAGCAAGTACCACTACGGACGGAGACCTCGTACCCGTCAAGTACCCTTTGGATGTGCCAAGTTCCATGACGGCGCATAAGTTTCTTCTTGAACATGTTCGACTACAACGTGAACGAGTACCACGACGACCCTCGAAGAGCTCGGATCCGTCAAGTTCAACTACCATCGCAAAAACCCGAGATGAAGTACCCCTATGGTTCGTCGAGACCGGCAAATCACAAAATCGTCCTGGATATTGTCAAGTACCACGACGACCCTCGAAGAGTTCAGGTTCGTCAAGTTCGACTACCGTGGCGTGAACCACTACTCCCACGACGATGTGTGTATCACTACCGTCGACCCTCCAAGACCCCGTGGACGTCAAGTTCCTCGCCATGACCCCGAACATCTATGGAAACTTGTGCGACTAAGAAAGTGAATGACTGCCGTCGCCAAGGTCGCTAGTACCACTACCATCGACGAGGACCGATAGTACCACTACTTCCACTACCGTCGCCACGAGAAGGACTACTTCCCACAACGAACCATGAACGACTACTTCCATTACGGCTGTCCCGAGAACATCTACTTCCTCTACATTGCACCGACCCCAAACCATCCCGTTATGCACGTTTTAAAGGTATTACCATCGAGACGATGCCGTGGACCGTATGCATGTGTGATGTATGAGATGCTCGTGCTGGCACCGTGTCCGTAGTGTCTCTCGTTTCCATGCCATCAATTCATGGGGACCCGGTTACCGGGATCACCCCACCATCTTTTGGACGCTCCCCCACACTTCCTTTTGCACCGGTATCTCCATGAGCTACCGGAACCGTTATGTTGCCCTGGCATCCTTTTTTGGATTCGTTTTCGTGGCACCCCTTTCGTTTCCGCCACGATGACAAATGCTTCATAATATGCGCATGTCAACATTTTCATAAAATTGCATAAACTTGCACATGTCATCCGCATCATGATAATAACATTTAAAATGTTAAAGTTTGTTCTTTCTTTAAATTGCTAATGCATATGGGGATTTACCAGAATTGTTGTTTGTTGTTCCGACCTCATTTAAACTTGCCTAATCAGTTAATTTAATTATGCTTCACCTCTTGCCATGCTTAACAACATTTAATATTGTTGGGTACATAAACGGGAGAGAACTATATAATTGATGTGGTGTTTCGTCAATATGCAACTCGTTGCATATTGAGCTCCACTTAACTTGTAGTTTTGTTTGTGCACTTTGCCATGCCATGCTTCTTTAAACCGGACATGCATCATACTTGGTTGTGCATCATGCCATGCTTATGTGATGGTTGTTTACTATGATGTTTGCTTCTTTCTGGTGTTGCTTCTCCGGGTTAGTTCCGATAACGTCGCATTTGTGAGGATCCGTTCGACTATGTCCGTTTCTCTCCTTCATGGACTCGTTCATCTTCCTTGCGGGATCTCAAGCAAGATGACCATACCCTCGAAATCACTTCTACCTTTGCTTGCTAGTTGCTCGCTCTTTTGCCAATGCACCATACATACCACACGCTTTATCATGCCTCCCATATTGCCATGCCAAGCCTCTAACCCACCTTGTCCTAGGAAACCATTGTTTGGCTATGTTACCGCTTCGCTTAGCCCCTCATATAGCGTTGCTAGTTGCAGGTGAAGATGAAGTTTGTTCCATGTTGGAACATGGATTATTGTTGGGATATCACAATATCTCTTATTTTAATAAATGCATCTATATACTTGGTAAAGGGTGGAAGGCTCGGCCTAATGCCTGGTGTTTTGTTCCACTCTTGCCGCCCTAGTTTCCGTCATACCGGTGTTATGTTTCTTGATTTTGCGTTCCGCACATGGTTGGGTGTTATGGGAACCCCTTGACAGTTCGCTTTGAATAAAACTCCTCCTGCAAGGCCCAACCTTGGTTTTACCATTTGCCTCACCTAGCCTTTTTCCCTTGGGTTTCCAGAGCCCGAGGGTCATCTTTATTTTAACCCCCCCAGGCCAGTGCTTCTCTAAGTGTTGGTCCAACCTAAGCGATGTTCGGCGCCCCATGGGCAACCAGGGTCTATGCCAACCCGACGTCTGGCTCATCCGGTGTGCCCTGAGAACGAGATATGTGCAGCACCTATCGGGATTTGTCGGGACATCCAGGCGGCTTTGCTGGTCTTGTTTTACCATTGTCGAAATGTCTTGTAACCGGAATTCCGAGTCTGATCGGGTCTTCCTGGGAGAAGGAATATCCTTCGTTGACCGTGATAGCTTGTGATGGGCTAAGTTGGGAGACCCCTGCAGGGTTTTGAACTTTCGAAAGTCGTGCCCGCGGTTATGGGCAGATGGGAATTTGGTAATATCTGGTTGTAGAGAACTTGACAGTTAACTAAATTAAAATGCATCAACCGCGTGTGTAGCCGTG